CCCGCACTGCGCATGAGCGGGAGCCCGGCGAGCCCGTGAGAGGAGCCGCCGCCGCCGCCGCCGTCCATTCGCTGCGGAGCCGGAGGAGGAGGGGAGAGGCCTGGAGGACACCAACATGGTGAGGCACTGCGGCCGCCCGCTCGTCCCGCCGGCTGGAGGCCGGCGCAGCCGCGCACTCCCGCCCCGGCAGCCTTCCTGTCCGTGGCGACCCCGCCGCCCCGAGTTTCGGCCCGCGGCCTCGGTCCGCTCCCTGGCGGGGCTCTCCTTCCCGCCTCTCCCTTCCTCCTTCGCCCGTTCCCGCCCGGGCGCCGCCGCTACGCGAGAGCCGAGGAGGCGGAGCAGAGCCGGGCCTAGTCGGGAGCCCCGGGGAGTTTGGGTCGCGGGAAGCAGCCTCCGGTGCCCTTCGTCGGGCGCGGGTAGGGAGGCGTTGGGGCGGGGGGAGGGGATAGGGCAACGGCCCTGCCGCTGCCCGGCCCCTCGCCGGCTCCATTGTGTCTGGCTGGGACCGGGGTCCGGTGTTCCGGGTGCCGAGCCTCCTCCCGCCCCGAGCCGGGCTTCCCCCACCGTCCCGCCCGAGAGAAAGAGAGACGTCCCGGCGCGCCTTGCCCCCTCTGTTCCCGGTTCCTGCACCTCTCAAGTCTCCCAGGCGCTTGTGCCTGGGGCGGGGTATCAGCTTTTTTCCTTTCTCCATCACCTCTCGCTGCGTCCCTTGCTTTTGGAAAATGAGAGTTTCACTGAGCAGTAGTTGGGGGTTATATTTATGCTCTCTGCTGAGAATGTGGGAGCTGAGTTTGGGCCATGGCGAAGAGGGTTAGGAGGGATTAGGGAACTGCAACCTGTTCTCATAAAATTAGGAAGAACATACTTACTACCTTTTGAGCACATATTTGCTTGGAGTGGGAGGAGTAATTGCTTCATCATAGCAGTTAAAGGCCATTTGTGATTTAAAAAAAAAAAAATTTGTCAAGTTACTCACCTCCCCTCTTTTGTTTGAAAAAAGAAATCGTTTTACAAGCTTGAAGACCCTTGTTGTCAGGATATCTGTTTACATTGGTAATTGTGTACCTGACTGTCTGTTGTACTCTTTTTGTTTTTCAGAAGAGATGTTTGACATTGTACAGTCTGAGCATGAATAGAATTCCAGAATTCCATCCAGGTTACTGTTTGAAATAGACATTAAAAATGATATTATCCTTTTGCTCCTGAGGAACATAAACGAGTCTTTGAGGAGAGTGTCTTATGTTAAAGAATGCCACAGTGTCTTTGTTTTTAGTTTGGTCTTATTTCTGCTGAATGACACTTATCTGGCCTCAGCCTCCAGTGTGGCAGTATTTTGGTGTCCTGTATGGATATGTGGTTTAGTTTGCCATATAATCAAAATTTATGTCCTATGGTGAGCTCCATAAAAATTTACAATTTGTAAGAAAATGTTAATTTATGTGTAGAGTACACATTAATGTTTGTATTGATATTAGGGTGTTAGAAAACACACCAGGGTGTCTATAAACAGTTTCTAATGTCTTAAATACTTAGATAGTAATAGACTTTACTTCTAAACTTTCCAGAATCTTGACTGTAGATGAGTAGTGAGGTTGAAGTAATGAAATGTAATTCTCTGGTAAAAACTCAGACGATCTGAGTGCGTGTAGTTAATGATAGTCTCCAGTGCAGCAGCATCCCCTAGACTATAAAAACCAACACCAAACTCACTGCCATAGAGTGGACTCTGACTCATAGCGACCCCCTTTGGGTTTCCTAGGTGGTAAATCTTTACGGAGGTAGATTGCCCAGTTTTGACTAGTAGGTTTGAACTGCAGCCTTCTGATTAGCAGTCAAATGCCTTAGGCGCTATGCCACACTAGACTATTAAAAAACCAAACTTACTGCCGTTGAGTCAGATCCGACTCACAGTCCGACTCACAGCGACCCCTTCTTAGGTTTCTGAGCTGGTATCACTGCAGAAGTAGATTGCCCAACCATCCTTCCGAGGAGTAGCTGGTAGGTTTGAACCGCCAGCCTTCTGGTTAGCAGTCACATGCTTTAGGCACTATGCCATAGGGCCTTGATAATGCCCATCAACTCTTCAGGAGTTCAGCCTTCATGTGGTTTATATGAGAGTTCAGATTTGGCTTATAACCTGTCCTTTTGGTTAAATTGGTTATTTTTGGAACTGAGCAACAACATATGAAATTATGCCAGTGGTGACAAGATACCACTAATTAAAACTTTCTGTCATTGAACTTGGTTCATGTCACTAGAATTGTCTTGGTATCCTCTTGTTAGTTTAGAAATTAAATCACCGTGGGTCTTAACAGAAGTTAGGCCTTAAATTTAATGCCACTCCCTGTCCAGCCCTGGAGTCCCTGTATGGTGCAAATAGTAGCTGAGGTACCTTAGAAGAAAGACGTGATGACTTATTTCCAAAAAATCACCCATTGTTCTCTGTGGAGCACAGGTCTACTCTGACATACATGGAGTCACCATGAGTGGGAATCGCCTCAGAAGCAACTGGTTTTACTTTCCAACCAATAACCTTGTGCGTTTAAATAACTTCAATAGAGTTAAGTTGTTTCATTGTTTACTTGTCTCACTTATAACTGTTTCTTGTTAAAACTTTTGGGTTAATTTTAGTTTTTTGATGAGTTGGCACAGCCCATTTCTAGAGCACATGTTATTGTTAATTCTCATACAAATTTACATGAAGGGATATCTGAAATACTTTGTATAAAGAAAAAGAAGTTGTCACTTAATCTCTCTCTCTAACACACACACACACACACACACACACACAAGAGCAACAAGAAAACCCCACAACTAGATAAGAATTTGATTGCTAACCAGAAGGCTGGCGGTTCAAACCCACCAGCCACTCCTCAGAAGGAAGGTTGGGCAAGCTACTTCCATTAGTGATACTGCCTCGGAAACCCAAGGAGGGGTTGCTATGAGTCGCATCCAACTCAACAGCAGCGTGTTTGGTTTTGGGTTTGATTTAGACAGTAAGTTACTTTTGAAAACCTTTTTGAAAATGTTTGGAGTTTCTGGTGGTTTTCTTATTTGTAAGATGAAAGGATTGGATTTGATGATTTCTAAAGTTCTATCCAATTTAAAAGTTTTGTGATTCTAACGATTTTTTATTAGTTGTGTGAGAAGTGTGTACCTAGTTTTTAGAGACTCATAATATCATAGACTTTTCAGAGATGAAATTGGCTTCAGAGATTATCTAAGTCCACCCAACCCCCTTTTTACAGAAGAAGAAAATGAAATGAGACCAAAGGAGCTTTTGAAATTCAAAATTGTGACACAACTGAAATTACTTTTGCTGGTATTTGTGTACATGTAAATCTTTTAATTCATGTCAAATCTAGAGAAATGGCTGAAAATTGGATTTGAAATTAAATTATACTCATTTAGAGGAAAAACCAATGCTATTAATGAATAACAAAAATTCAAAATAATGGATAGTTAATAATACTAATTACTGTTTTGTTTTTTAACTGCTGCTGTGTGATTACTGTGTTATTAGTGGATTTTTTAAAAATTATGTGGACTTTGAAATTTAAGATTTCATTTTTAAACTACTAGGACTTACAAATCCAAGTGAACGGCAACTTGAACAAATTGTCACTTCAGAACTTGTTCCACATTCTTTTGCATACCCACAAGCAGTGCCTTAATTCATTTTAACAATATTGAGCACCCACTATGTGTCACAGACTATTGTAGGCACTGGGGGGATAGATACATCACTGAACTGACAAAAATCCCTGCTCTGGTAAAGGTTATGCTTTACTAGGCAGAAACACTTGGTGACTATAGTACAGAGTTTTCTTTCTGTGTTAGAAGGTAGTAAGTGCTATGGGAAAAAAATAGAGCAGTGTTGGGCAGGGAAATTGGGAGTATTTGGGGTGGGGGGAAGTGGGATTGCAGAATGGTAAGCAGGTGAGGGAGTAAGCTAAACAAGTATAGTGGAGAGAGTTTGAGGAACAGTGAAGAGACCCTTGTGGCTGGAGCCAAGTGTGTGTGTGTGTGTGTGTTTGTGTAGGTGAGATCTTGTGGGTAAGCAGTGAGGATGGCATGGTGAGCAATGCAAGGATACTGATTTTTATTCCAAGAGAAATAGGAAGCCAGTGAACTATTCCAAGTGGTCTGATCTTGTTTCTAAAAGCATCCCATAGTGCCCTGTCATAGATCTTTTTTAAAGAGGTTTTTGAAGATAAAATCCTTATTACAGTCAGTTTTTTTTTACTCTAGCGTGCATTCTCATTGTATAGAATTCTGTTTTAAGATGATTGTCCAGTGTTCAATAAAAACTAATTGAGAAAAAACAAAACAACTAATTGACCATCCAGTTTAGTTAGCTATGACAGGGTTAATAAAAGCAAGCCAACAAAACCTCTTTCATAGATTGCTCTTGAATGGTTCTGTTAGTTTGTATGTAGTTTAATGGCTACATGCAGAAAACTGGGCCTTTAGGGAGAAAGAAAGGAAATGAACGTTTATCTAGAGGATACTGTCTGCTAGTCAGACCTATTTACAACTGTAATTTACTCTGCTCTCCAACTTGTGAGCTAGGTATTACTACCTCCTTCCCACTCAGTTTTCTGTAGCTGCTTTCGTGCCACATGAAATAGTAGAGTTTAGTTGGGACAACAGTCAAATGGTCCACAAAGCCTAAAATATTAACTAGATGGCCCGTTTTAAAAAAAAATTTAAGGGGTTCTTTAGGATTGCTAAGGAGCTCTGGTAGCATAGTGGCTAAGACACTTGCCTGCTAACCAGACGGCTGGCGGTTCAAACCCACCAGCCATTCCTCGGAAGGAAGGTTGGGCAGTCCTGCTTCCGTAGTGATACTGCCTCAGAAACCCAAGGAGGGGTCGCTGTGAGTCGGGGCCGACTCGATGGCACATAACAACAACAACAACATAGGATTGCTAAGGAGCTCTGGTGGCATAGTGCTAAGGCATTTGACTGCTAACCAGAGGCTTGGCAGTTCAAGCCCATCAGCCACTCTGCGGAAGGAAGACCGGACTTACTTCCCGTAAAGATTTGCAGCCTCTAAAACCTAATGGGGGGCACTGTGAGTTGGAATCAACGTGGTGGCCTTGGGTTGTTTTATTT